CTTTAGAAAAATAATTTGTCAAATGGAAAATAAGTCAAGAAAGAGTGAAGCCAAGCAACAAGAGAAACTCTATAAGGAAAATCTCTCAAGGTCGTTTTTTTTTATCTATTGCATTTATGCTTTCTCTTACTTCTTTAATGTGAATTTGCCCATAATACTTGCGGAACTTGCCTCTCACAAGCAAGTTTCTAAAGAATAAAACAAAAATGACTACATTTTCTTACCCCACTCGGCTTAATATTTGAATGTTAAGGACAACTTTGGAGAAGCTCTTTCCAAAATATGACTCAGTCAAATAAAGAATGAAGTCGGCTAATCTAATGTTGAATACCACGAGATTTCGAACTACGTAAAGTTAAAAAATTATGATGACAAATCTAATGTTGAATACCACGAGATCTCGAACTACGTAAAGTTAAAAAATTATGATGACAGTTCCTTGTAGGAGAGCTTTGGCACAAAACAAAGAAAAATCCAAATTTAACAAAACCACTTTCATTTCTTTATAATCCATTATATTAAAAGGAAATAGTCAATTTAATTGCACAAATAGAGAACCTTTCACTTGTGACACTTGGAGAACTTTTCAATGAGAACTCTCCTTATAAGACTAAGTAAACTATAATAATGATGAGTTGACGATTTATGTGACTACTTCCCGAAGGCGAGCAAACATGAACTGGGAGAGAATCCTGTAGAAGAGCTAAAAGTCTTCATACAGTCATACAGATAAATAGTCGACACATAGATACGCCACTCATTTTTATTTAAATAAAATTTTTAACTTCTATTTGGAGAAAAAACATGCACTTGTCTTATAGAGATGAATATTTTTAGTTTGATATTTATCATTTCCTTATTCTTTTTGTATATACCTTTCAAGAAATAAGAAAATAAGAAAACCAAATTATGTGTATAAATAAGTGTCTCAACTTATTTTAAAGAGTTTTAATAGTCCAGAAGAGAAGAATATGACGGAAGAAGATCTACTACAAGGAGATCTTGAGGCCCATTTGACTAAACGAGCAAAGCCATACAAACCAAGTTGATCAGTCTAAAACTGACCGACGCACAAGTTATACAAGAAGACGATTGGGTGATCCAAGTAAATGCGATTAGGCCAAAAGAGTGACAATAGAGCTTCGAAACCATCCAATGTAGAAAGGCCGACTCAATGCAGTAACCCATCTCACAATGGAGCTACCCCGACGGAAGGGTAGGTTCTGCCGACAGTCTCACAAAAACCCGAATACTCCTCACTAAGGATTGAAGATAGTCAACCAAACAAGATCAATCAATTAGTCCCAACCAACCAAGCCCACTCGACTGAACTGACCTTATCAAAATCAAAATTAATCCCAAGAGGCCGCTTAAAAAATAAAAAAAATAAAATATAAAAATGATATATTCAATTTGTATTATATTAAAAATACAGAAATATTTTAAAATTTTACAAACAAACAACCTCTAAGACATTAAGGCCCCGTTTGGGGCAGCTTATAAGTGTGGGCGGCGTTTTGAAACCGCCGCCCTACCGTTTGGTTAGCGCTTATTGGGAGATTATTTAAAAATGCGTTTTTGAGTTCCTAAAACACGCGGACAGCGCCTACCGTTTGGTTAGCGCTTATGGGGAGATTATTTAAAAATGCGTTTTTGAGTTCCTAAAACACGCGGACAGCGGGCTGACCCCCGCGGTCCGCGTTTCGCGATAAAAATTTATGCAGTACCCCTCGGATCGCTCCCGTGACCTTGCCTTTTTTCATTCGCCTCTCGCCTTTGCCTTTCTCCTTCGGCTCTCCCGTGACCTAGAGCTTCGCCTCTTTTGGTCGTTCGAAGCCGGATCTTCTTCTCTCGATCCCGTCGAAGCCGGATCTTCTCCCAACAGATCTTCTCCGTACGAAGCCAGATCTCCTCGCTCCCATCACCATTCTGTATCCTGGCTTCTCCGTTCGAAGCCGGATCTTCTTCTCTTGATCCCGTCGAAGCCGGATCTTATCCGTTTGAAGCTGGATATGAGTTGGATTATTTTGTATAGTGTTTTTAGAAGTTGTTGAAGTCCTCCATTGTGGACGCGAAGCTTTAGATTTGTTGGTTGAAGGGTATTGATTTGTTGGAAGGGAATTCTGCCCCAGTTTTTCTTTCTTAAGGCTACTAATTTTTCTATTATTTGTTTTTGTGTTTTGATTCCAAGGAATAGCAAGTACCAAAGGTTTTTGTTGTGAAATTGGAAGCATCTAATGTATGGTTATGGAAGCATCTAACGTTGAATCATCTAATGCTGATTTATAAGCAATCTATATGTAGTTTGGATGACACCATATTATGTATGTAGCTTGGATGACAACCACTACTATGGTATGACTCATTGTGGTCGAAATTAGGGTATGTTGGATTTAATGTTGGCCGAAATTTTGGATGGTTTCAATTTTGGTTCCTTTGAAATCAAATTAATGCTGAAGCTGTAATCTATTTTTAGTTTCATTTTTATGGTTGTGAAGCTGTATTCTATTTTGTTTCATTGCAAAATACTGCAATAAGGTCTATGCAATATTGCTGAAGCTGTAATATTAGTTTTATTTTTATGGTTGTGATCTTTAATTTTGTTGAGAAAAGAACAGATTCTGCTGCACAGATTATTCATTTAATAAAAAAAATTCCAAATAAGCTGTTTATAAAACACATTAACCAAACAGCTAAATTACTTATTCAGAACAGGGGCAGAATGGTCAATTTTTCACAATCAGCTGTTTTTCATAAGCGCCAACCAAACAGCCAGACAGCTTATCCGGATCAGCTGCTCATCAGCAGATTATCAGGATAAGCTGCTTATCAGCAGAAGCTGGATAAGCTGCAGCTGCCCCAAACAGACCCTAAATAAACAGCGTTCCAAACATTAAATATTTTAAATTTAACGCTAGCCACATACACAATATATTTAGAGAGAACCAATAACATATTTTCCTCCGCATTGTATATTAAATTTTTAATCTGAAATTTTGTTAAATTTGTTGACTTTTTATGATCAAATATGGAGCCAAAAACACACAAAATCATTAAATTTATTTTTGACATTTGGAACTAATTTGAATTTTTTGCTTAGTTGGGAACAAAAAGTCTCAAATTAAGACCACCGAATCAGGGTTTCACAATTTTTTTTTAAGTTTGAAAATGACAGTTATATATATATATATATAGAGCCACTGACACGAATCTCAAAGAAAACTAAAGAAAAAAAAATAAAGAACTTCCCCTAAGGATAAATAATAGACTGACAAACCACCGCCAAGTAGGTGATACCACGCCTGTAAACGTGGGACATGTCAAAGCCCTGGAGATTGTCCCTTGCTCGATAGGAATAAGATCCATAAAGAGTAAGATGTAATTCATTATAGCAAATAGGCTCAACGGATACCTCTCATAGGCAACGACAAAATCCATCTAAGACTTTGCAAAATAGGGGTATCCGTCTGAGGTGACGAAACGACCAAATAAACGAGAAGTATGTCACGTAAGACTTGAGCCAAAGCAATAAATGAGTCACGGTTCACCCAACAAAAATAAATCGACTCATCAGTCGACCAACAGACTGACCGAAGTGTATGCAAATTATCACGATTGAATGACTGATCTGCTTTTGTCACGACGGATGAGATCGTTATTTGACCGAATGATTTGGTCGACCAAACACAAAACACGATCGCCTCAGTCGGTAGCATTTTATCGAATCAATCAATCAAATACCGTCATATCAAAATTTAATTTGTAATACAAACCTATAATGAGATCCATATAATTTATTAGAACATAAACCATGTTAAGAACGATTTCCACAATTGTTCCATTCTTTCTACAATTATACAAAGTATTGCTCTATAAATGAGAGACAAAAATAATTATAAAGTGAACTCTCCCGGTTTTCTCCGCAGTAACACTTGTTTTACTTTATTCTCTTCTTCACTCGACTCTAACTCTGGAGACGTGTTCACAAGAGACAATCCAGAATCCAACATTCAAAATGTTGTTAGTTGTGATTTTTTGAAATTATAATTATCATTAAAAATGTCATTAAAGGAAAAATGATGAAAAGTTCAACTATTTTAGAGAACGTGAACTCAGCGATCTCATCGTTCCAATAGATATATGAAAAAATTATTTTTGACAACTATTATAGGGTTAAAACAAAATTCATTACAACAAGTCCACAGACCTTTACACAAGGTAGCAAAAGGCCAACTTTTTTTAGTAAGATGCAAACTAAGATACATTAAAGCACCAAAGTGTTCGAGAGAGATGTAAAACTGAAAAATGTTTGCTCGAAGCATTCTGACGGAGCTATAGCCAGCACAACATTGATTTAGGGCTTGGAGGTTAATCCCACTCTCGTTGTTTGGAGACTTTTCCATAATTTTGGAGGATGTTATTGACAATGAGGCGGTGAAGGTGATCCATAGTGATACAAAAGCTTTACAATTATTAAATAATAAAAGATATGATATACCATATTCACATAATTATAATAATATTTTATACAATAGAGCAATCAAAATAACCATCATATAATAACTCATAAGATAGATATATAGAGCAATCTAAGCATTATGACATACCATAGAACTATCATAATAGAGGAAATGGTTTCTAATAATAAGGATTATATTAAATCTAAATTATAATCATAATGATAAGCATTATATCATCTATGTTCTAATAGTTGAAGATATAATGAATACCTACATTATAATAAAGTCTAATCCAAAGTATAGCATTCTTCCCCCCTTTTTAAAGAGCCATTTACATACATGATACATTCCTCCTAATTTCTATGTATTTACGTATTAATACCTAACATTAATATCTTTTTTATTTATACCACCCAAATCTTTCATATATTATCAAAATATAATTATTTTTTTCATTAAATGATTGAAATATACATAAAATATTGATGTTTAGGTATTAGATATGTTAATACATCAGAATTGTATCCTATGCATGTAAATCTTCCTCATGTTTAATTAACCGATTTTCCGACAGTTAGGGCACTTGGAGCTTTAGCCATGGCGAGATCCGCGAAGCCGTGCTGCTTCTGTCAAATCGCTTGCTCTTCGACTTCCACTCCCCTTCTCTACGCCGTCTGAACTCAATTACTCACCTTTTATTTGTTGTTCGTCTTTCTTCTTATTCCACTTCTAATCAGATTCGTCGACCTTCTGCGGCTGTGATTCAGGACGATCAAGTAATTGCCTTTCCCGACATCAATCCGTCAGCCTACAGGTGAGCAATACCTTCATTCCTCAGTCAGTTTTCTTCCTGATAAACTATTTTTAAGTTAAGTTAGATGCAAACGCCTTTATGAATTGTCTTGGTTTTGTTCATACATTGTATACATATTCCTCGTGCTGCCGTTGATCTAATTACGTTTTCTACTTTGATGACAATTTTCATTAATGTTTTCTGTTTAATTGGTGATTTTGGTAGGCATTATCTTGTTATATCTAAAGAGCACATTTCTACTGTCCGCAATCTCCGCAGAAGGGCCGAAGATTATCAGTTAGGTACTTTCGCTCTGATTTATTATGTTAAGTGATTTGTATAGTAATTAATCATTATGTGAGAATTTCATATGAATTGTGCATCGAGGAATTCTGACATATTTGATATTTTCAGTTTGTCAAATGTTGGATGTTGGACGAAGACTTCTTCAAAATGATGCCCCTGAATCCAAGTTATACAGGTATTAAGCATGATTCTTCTTACTTTTGTTGGCTGAATTATGTCTTGGTCAGTTTGAATTGTAAAGTCTAACTGGAACCTTAACCAGTAGGCTTAAGCTTTTGGTTTGTTTCTAATTTTCGAATGGTATAAATACTTTAGGTCTCTAGTTCAAATCCTTGGTGTTTTCTGTACATTATATACATATATATGTTAAAAGTATCTTTTTTTACATAATTTAAATTTTATTAATTTTTGAGTAAATTTATGCCAATGCCAATGTTAAATTAAAGAGGTACATATTACTTATATCAGGCAGCCAGCAACATATTAAACAAGTAAATTGCCAAAATAGTCACTTGACTATTTACATGGGATCATTTTGATCCCAAAGTTTATAAAAGTGCTAAATTAATCTGTAAACTCTTTTACTGGGTGCTAAAATAGTCCATATTAGGAACTATTTCAACCCCATAAACTCTGGTACTAAAATGACCACATGCAAAGAGTTAGGAGACTATTGACACTTTTTACCAAATTAAACTCTTAGTAACACTCTCATTTTAGTGAAAATAAATACAAATGAAACTGTATAAGATAAGGTTTTAGGAATTTTAATTTAAATATGAATAATACTAATTATGTGGAAATTTTTGGAGGATTCTAGGTAAAATTTTTATGGAATGTTGTTGGAGATGGAGAAGGAAAAATAATGGGAAACAAGGTCATCCAATTTGATGTGGTAAGACCATGGAAGAAGCAAAATGTGTATATCAAAAAAGATTCAAAAGATGAAATATTGATAAAACTAAAGAGGACATGCTTAGAAACATAACTACCGTAGCAAGTTTCATGCTTGGACAATGAGATTACCTCTCCTGTAAGGGTTTTAAATATCACATCAATTAATGACTATAATAAATGAAGAAGAAAGGTCTATGCAATTACAATTAAAATTTTATTCATAGTATAAATTGTCTTATATAACTCAAAAGTCTCTTGATTATAACCAAATGAATGTCAAATTGTTGGTTAACTAATAACAAACTACCAACAAGCTTAATGAGATAGACTAGAATAATTCAAAAAAAATATTGAAATCTAAAAGACAAACTCTAATATTTATGGAAAAATAACAATTTATACATATGTTAACTCAAGATTTTAAAAATGCCCACCCAAATTTGTTCATATTCAAATGATTCCGGGTTAAATTTTTGTAAGGTAGATTAGATGCTAGAAAAGATACTTCCCAAAGATTTTATTTTTTCTGAATGAGAACATTATGATGTAATTTGAAATTTATCGTAGGAAAAAGTCTCTATCAATAATCTTGTCTTTCAATTATGAGAGAGATTTTTTTTTAAAGTTAATTCTAGTTTACAGACTATGATTTTTGTTTTAATAGCACACTTTGGATTAATGGAAAGAATAGACGATTGTTAGTTTAGTGCATATGGTGAGGGAATAATGATGAATCCGATTAAGATTTTATGGCTTTGTTGTCTCGGCTTGATATGGTTTTTGGTCTACAAAGTCGGTGGATGTAATTAATCTAACATGATCATAGGCTTTTTATAAAGAGCTCTTGTAGGTTTGGGATCAAGACTGGTTGAAGAGATCTATTTAAATCAATTTTAATTAATAACGGGATTTATACATTATTAAGTGCACATAATGGCTTATAATTCATAGGCTTAGCCATTGTAGAACATACAAAATTAAAACAATAGTCGTACTATAGTGGCATCTTCATAATGAGACTAAACACCTCGTTAGAGGGCACATGCCATGTGCTTATTTCTGTGAATATTTGAATGTGATCATATTGATACACTTGATATGATATTAGTTCTTTATAGGCTTTATCTACAGATAAATATTTCCGTTTACTATCATTTAAGTGTCAGAATTAAAATATTTCTCTTTCACTCAACTTACTTGAGTATACATGCTTGCCATGCAATTAGATGTTTGAACCAGAGAATAAATCTACAAGCTTGTTAAAATAACTTGCACACTTTCAAAGTGACATAAATTAAGTACATTTTTCCTCAAACAAATATGCACGGCACTTTAAAACTATTTTGCTATTTTTATTTTAAAGTTCTCACTAGGATTGGTGTTTTCATCAGAATGTTCAAAAGACCTTACATTTTATTACATTAGCAAACTTTTTGTTGCTTAAAACACATTTTCTTGGCATGAATTAATTTGAATTGAACTTTGCCTTAAGAAACATCCCCATCTTTTTCTTTGCTTTTGGTTTGATTTTCAATGGAATGCACACACAATATTGCATTAATGAACATTAGACTGATTTTGGCTATTTTATGCTTTTGGAATAGTAGGCAAGCTTTTTGATACATTAAGCTTGTCTTTTAATGCAATTAAGTTTGAGTTAAGTTTTGCATTAAAAGCACATAAAATTTTACATAATGCTTTAATGCACTTCACATATGTTTGGTTTTTGCTTTTTAAAACTCATTTGCTTGCACATGAGTTATAATGCAAAGTTTTGGTTATTGCTCAAACATGATCTTGATTGTAGTTTATTCAAAGTCATACTTTTTGTGGGTCTCTCCGTGTGGAAATTCATGTCTATAAGTATGTACGCTACAAACATGATTTTCATGGTCATTATAGTTCATAATATAAAAAAACATGAGGTTGGATATTCTTATTCACATTTCTTGGCAGTAAGTTCATTATTTTGCTCTGCACTAGAAGCGACGCGCTGTATGACCTGAATAGAGTAAAAAGTGTGCAGGGGTAGCTACACCGGCGCCCGGGTGTAGTGTTAAATAAGCAAGAATTCTTACCTTACGAACAAATGCTGGTAAAGAAGTTAATCCATTAAACTAATATTATGATAGAATATTGGAATATAGGTACTCTCACAGGTAAATTAATGAAATTAGTTGATACTATGATTCATAGAAAGATAAATATATTATGTATTCTATGTATTCAAGAAATTAAATGAGTTGGAGAAAAGACTAGGGAGATTGATAACTTAGGTTTTAAACTTTGGTATTCAGATAAGAGTCACACTAGAAATGGTGTACGAGTAATTATAGATAAGAATTTAAAAGATAATGTTGTAAAAATTAATAAAGTTGAAGATAAAATTGTAGCCCTAAAGGTTATTATTGATACTAAGATTTTTAATATTATAAGTGTTTATGCATCTCAAGTAAGTTTAGATATAGACTCTAAAGAAAAATTATGGAATGACCTAGAAGACTTAATACAAATGATACCTTTTGAAGAAAGAATTTTTATTGGAGGAGATTTAAGTTGATATATCGGCAGAGTGGCAGAAGATTTTAGAAATAGTCGATATATCGGCAGAGTGGCAGAAGATTTTAGAAATATTCATGGTGGCTATGGTTTTGGAGTGATTAATGAAGAAGGTGGAGCGATATTAGATTTTGCTTTAGCATATGATTTTGTTATTGCTAATACTTTATTCAAGAAAAAAGATGAGCATTTTATTACTTATTACTTATAAGAGTGGATCTAACTTGTAAGAATTGATCTAATAAAACACAAATTGATTATTTTGTTATGAGAATAAGAGATCGTCGAGAATGTAAATATTGTAAGGTTATTCCAAGTGAGGATTTAAGCGAGGATTTAAGTACTGAACATTGATTATTAGTTCTAGATTTTAAAATGAAGAGTTATAAAATAAAGAATACTAGGAATCGTTATTGTAGAATTAGATGAGACACCTAAAAGATACAAATAAAATTATTTTTATGAGTAAGCTTCAAGATTTCAAGATTTGGGATGTTCGTGAAAAAACAAATTTCTATGTGGGGTTAATTAACACACACTATTAAATAAGAGACAAAAGATTACTTGGAGAATCAAAAGAAAAAGAAAAGATAAAATATAAAAAATTTTGTTATAAAAATTTGTTTAAATATAAAAGCTTAGAGAACTAGAAAAATATAAAATATCAATGTGTGACGCTAAGAGAACAATCTAAGAAAAATATAAGAAGTTTAAGAAAACAATCCGTGACGCAAAAAATTCTTCTTTTAGTGATATTTATAATAAATTAGATACTAAAGAAGGTGAAAAATATATGTATAAACTAGCCAAAGAAAGAGAAAAAAATTAAAGATTTAACTCAAATAAAGTGTATTAAAGATGAAAATCAAAAAATGTTTTTCTTAGAAAAAGATATTTAACATAGGTGAGTGAGGTATTTTGATAAACTTTTTAATGAAGTTTCTGCAATTATGATCGGTCTTCATGATCTTAATACTAATAATAATAATAAAATATTTCATTTTTACTGTTCAATTAGTAAAAAAAAAGTTGAAGAGACTTGAAAGAAAGAAGTTGGAAAGTCTATGAAACCTAATAATATCCCAATTGAACTGTGAAAATATATAGGAGCTTTGGGAGTTTCTTGGCTTATTAAACTCTTTAATATTTTTGAAAAACTAAAAAGATGCCTGAGGAGTGGAGGAAGAGTATTTTGATCCCCATTTTTAAGAATAAAGGGGATGCACAAGATTGTACAAATTATAGAGGAATTAAGCTGATGTGTCATACTTTAAAATTATGGGAGTGGATAATTGAACATAAGTTAAGACGTATCACAAAAATTTCTCATAATCAATTTGGATTTATGTCGGGTAGGTCTACTATGGAAGTTATACATTTATTGAGAGGTTTGATGGAGAAGTTCAGAGAGAATAAGGAGGATTTACATATGATATTTATTGATTAAGAAAAAGCTTACGTCAAGGTTCCAAGAGATATCCTTTGGATTTATGTCGGGTATGACTAATATTCAAGTCGTTAAATATATGTATACTAGAGCTGTTGTGTTTGAACAGAAAATGGATTGACCAAATATTTTCATATTTTAGTTGTATTACATCAAGAATCAACTTTAAACCCATATCTTTTTGCTTTAGTTATGAATGCTCTTATTGGACATTTACAAGAGGATGTAACTTGGTCTATGCTTTTGTTTAAGTAGAACTAAAATTGAATACA